TGCAACGTTCTCTGTTTATCTCTCTGTGCATGTTACCATTGTGGGGTCGTGTGGCGTAGAGGCAGAGTGCTCAACTCGGAACCAAGAGGTCCCGGGTTCGAGTCCTGACATGCCACCCATCTTTACTGCCCTTGGGGACTTTCCTCACTTGAATGGTCCTGTCCTGTATTTGTACTCTGTGTTGGTGGTGGCACAAAATAAGTTGATATAACCTGAGTGTGCCGTCGCCATGTTTGGTCATAAATGGTTGGAACATTAAAAAAAATGTTCCCATTGCTGTCACCTTGCCAACTTCCTGTTGGCTCACAGCTTCCGGAACATATCTTAAAGTTCTCCTTTCCAACCTTCTGTGGTCACTACTTCCTTCAATCAGCGGAAACCAACCCTCTCCTCACCACTAAACCACATTAAAAAAACCTACAAAGACAAGAAAGCAGACAAAGAGACAAACACACCCAATCAACTCAACAAGAACATTTCAATCAAAATTGCATTGTTACATATTTATCATAGAGTTATTTAAAACTTTTTCTGTCTTGTCATTTCCTGCTGAAACAGCATCAATATTCCTGCAGGTTCTTTGCCAGATTTTGGAATTTAACATAACTTTTTTTTCTAACCGCACCTTTTCTGATCAGCACTTCCTTCCAGCTTCCTTCTAACTTGTCCTTAAGGCCAATCTGCGTAAACCTACCCATCTTCCCTCGGCTCTACAACATTAAAATACCTAATAAAACAAGAAACACACAAATACGAAGAAAAAACAAGAACATTCCCTACTTGGTATTCCTGATGCTCCTCCCGTACCGTCAAGTCTCCCCACATGAAGGACCTCTCGGCTTGCCTGCTCGGCATAGAAACCTGCGTGGATGGAAATTATAATCAGTGACACTGATTGGATAATGATAATGATCATGATTACTTTCAAGATAAAAGTTTTTTTGAAGGCCCTAGGAGCAGCGTGTTGTTGACTAGTGTGTCTAAGACATGGAATACACCGATCCGAATGGGTCTATTCCACTGCCTTTTCCTTCCCACCTTAAGTCATGTACGTATTCTACACCTGGGTGGAGGAGGAAAGCCGTAATGTGGCTTTCCTAAGGGCACAACGTATAGCCAGGAAAGAAAGGAATCAAGCCCGCGACATTTCTATCATTAAAGAATGTCTCAATCGTAGAGACTAAATGCTAGAGAATAGTTATACCTTTATTGATACCACTGATATATATTCTGTATGTAATTTTCCACATACATATATTCTGTACGTAGGATGAAGCTATTCATACATGTATTTAAATTTGTTAGACCTTTGTTAACTTTGTTAGTTGTAGAAGAGCATCCAAAGTTCCCTGTACTTTTTTTTTGTGCCAATAAAGAATCTCTCTCTATCTCGTGTTTGCTAATTTGACCATTCGACGCTAGCCTCCTGTACAGACTCCGTGCGGGGGGGAAGTTTTGATACTGCGTTTAGTGAAGTTTTTAACCCACCTGCCCGGAGCCTGCACAGGAGGCTAGCGTCAAAAAAATCCTTGAACATCAGAACACTTCAAGAGTAGACGAAAATTACAAACCTTAGCCTCTGTTGCTGTTACCGGCGGTGCATTGCCGATGTCTCTTGTCGCCGCCGATGTTGGCCGGCTAGTCTTGTGTCTAGGTTTGCGTCGTCTGCTCCGGGTCCGCCCGGTTAAGTCCCCCCGTGGCCCCAAATGGTCGCACCGGGTCGTCCAGGCGGTTTTAGTCGGGCCGTGAGGCGACCTGCCCCGAAGGAGAAGCCTGATGCTGCCCGGTGAGGAAGACATCGCTCTGAAGCGAGAAAATTAACGCCAATAAGTGCAAATAAATTTACGGGTACATAGAAAGAAAGAGTGCTCTCCAAGCAGAGTTTTAGGCTTCGGCTTATTTTTAAAGTGTTTTCAGACGTTTTTAGCAGCCTTTCTGTTTGTACCGGAATCGGTGTGTCAAATGTATACTGCCCTGCCGATGATACTGTCTTGCCAATTTGATACTCTCTTTCAGCGATCAAAATATTTGCTTGGAGTTTAGCTTGGACCTTTCGCCTCTCACCCCAATACATTGCACACAGCAAATAAGTGCAAAACAAATACATGACACATATTAAACGTTAGGAAGCGCGCGGTCTCACAAACTGTAGACTATGGGGCGAAAAAAGACTTATAAACATAGGAAATTGCAGCATTTTCAACATGGTTAGAATTCAAAGACTGGGCAGAAAAAAACTTACGAGTGCTGCACACCTGTGAACACTTGTAAATGCCGTCTGCAGGTGTTGTTGTGAGCTCATAAGGCGCACAGAAGTGACCCACTCCAAGCTATGCGTTTCCTGGTTGAAGTTTAACCCACAAATTGTTCCTTGGATGGACAGATGCTTTTATAATGACGCTGTAAACAGCAGTGGGCCAACATAGGTTATTCCCCTACTACTGTACCTACACGTTATGGGCTAAAAATAGGGGTCGTGTGGTGTAGTGGCAGAGTGCGCGGCTCGGAACCTAGAGGTCCCGGGTTCGAGTCCTGACATGCCACCGATCTTGTGCCCTTGGGGAAGGCACTTTATATGACTTTCCTCACTTCTCTCAGGTGAAAATGAGTATTGTCCTGTCATGTATTTGTCCCCTGTGTTGGTGGTGGCATTAATATAAGTTGAAAAAAACTTGAGTGTGCCGTCACCACGTCTGGTGATTACATGTTGGAAAAAAAAACACATGGCGTCCGCGGGTCTCGGCTCAATTGGGCCGAGATAGGTTATTCCCCTACTACATCTACCTTTGCGGTGACCGTCTAAAAATAACACAAGGCGCCCGCCTGTCTCGGCTCAATTCATACCAAGAGATATTTATTGTTATTGATTACTCCGTATTATTGGTAGTAACGAACCAGCTGGTAGGCTAGTACAGTGGCTTGCTACTGGGAGACGTAGAGTGGGACGTCCTTATACTACACTTTTGTCCATGCTAGAGAGAGACACTGGTCTCGCAGGGACTGCATTAGTGTCCGCTATGAGAGATAGGACTTACGGGAGTAACTTTATCAAGTGTACCTCACCGGATTAGTATAATCCGGAGGCATGATGATGATGATGATTGGTTGGCCGACTACTCTACTTTTATTGCAGCCAGGACTAAATGGCAAGCTATTAAGCAACTAACAGAAACGTAATTTTGTGTGGAAGACGAGATCGTATGTACCGATTTCTACCTATAATTGTGGGGTCGTATGGCGTAACGGCAGAGTGTTCGACTCGGATCCAAGAGGTCACTGACATGCCACCGATCTTGTGCCCTTGGGAAAGACACTTAACACGACTTTCTTCAGTTTCCCCAAGTGAAATTAGTATTGTCCTGTCCTGTATTTGTTCTCTGAGTTGGTGGTGGCATGAAATAAGTTGATATAACTTGAGTGGTTCGTCACCATATCTAGTCACCATATCTAGTCATGAAATGTTCGGAAATATAAAATTAATAGTAAGCGATCATAAATACAGAGAAGAATTCTGACATTTTTTTGTCATGGAATAAATAGAATAAAATTTCAGCTCCTAGATCGGCAGACAACGTTACGAGTTACATATTATAAATGACAACAACGATAAACACAACGTAAATATAGTCAAATGACGATAGTCAGATAATATATATCGAATACAAAATAGCTATCTTAAGCTTGTCAACAACCAAAAAAGTGGGAGGGGGTCTTGAGCGTCTCTACTGAATGTGTATACGGCAGAGTTGGAGCATGCGCACATGTATGTAAAATCACGTGATTACATCACGAGTTCTCTCCACGTGTGAATAGATGTGTTTGATCTCCTGCTTACCAGCACAGATTACTTCATTTTCCACGAAAATAAGTCTGGCTCTTGCATAAACATTAACTGGTATTGCATCACCTCATGCCACGTGATTCTTCCAAATAAGGGTAAAAGTAACCATACCTCGTCAGACCAATTAAGGTATTATTTGCTATATTCATGAATTTTTGCACAGCTATACACTGCGTGACAATACAGTCTACGGCCTTTTGAATTTATTTTATTTACCTTATTTTGAGTAAAAATAGCGATTGTAGCTTGAAAACCCAAATCCCCAACTGACAGTTCTAAATAGAACACTCGGGTTCTACATGTTCCGACAGCGGAAGGCGTTGGAAGATTCCATTGCTGCATGAAGGTATAGTCTATTGGAACACTTTACATTTTGGACAGGGGTAATTTAGGAACAATCCATTTCGTGCAGGAGAGGGAAAGGTCAATTTTTGGTACGGGGGACGTGTTGAAGCCATTTGCTGCATTTGCTCCCGAGCAAATGTCGGCCTTTCTAGTTATTGTATAATCTTGTACGTATGGTGCTAGCAGGTCTGATTTTTAAGATATTTAGAAATTACGAATAGAAAATGGTCACGTATTCACCCCATCTAGCGAGTTTCTAGTATTTTGTCTTTATTCCTTCTTAATTATTTCACTCCATACTTCAGTATGGAGTGAAATACTGTTTTTACTGATGATTCTTCTTCTCCTCCTCCTCCTCCTCCTTCTCCTCCTGCCACTTCTTTAAATTGATTCAACTCCTTCATTTTTGGGAGAAATTACCTGGAATTTCGTATAGAGGTAGAGTAGGTAAATACCCCTAGGCGTTTTTAAAATTTTTTTGATACAAGCTTTTACAATCGTTTTATTTGTTATTTTAGCTGTCCCCATAGGAAAGTACTGTGGGGACGTACGCGCGTGACGTAATAAGAAAGGAATTCGAGGCATGTCCATATATGGGCATAAAATCATCAACCTGACGCAGACCAATCATAGAACGCCTTTCGAATCTCCCGCGAATTTCTTCCGCTAACGCTGATTGGTCATATGCGTCACGTGATCATTTTTGCGTTCGGTCGTCTGCAAGGTGGACGACTTCTGCTGCCAGCGTCAGGTTCTCGCCAGTTTCTGGCAGTATCTTGTGCGTCAAATAGCAGGAAATATCATCAGGTAAGAAGTGGATAGTCAGAGTTCCTCCTATAGACCATTGTTTGTGCACATAGAGATATGTGGGTGCTGTAATACATTGTAATAAGGACATTAATTAGCGCGAGCGCCCGCGGGCCAAGAACAAGGTTCAAGAAGTATAGTGAAGAGGGCCTGCATGGGGGGTAGGATTACGAATTATGCAAAATTTTCGCGGACAATATTACCAATTACGTTAAAGTCTCAGACCTTATAACGACTTAAATCTTTGCAGCTACGGTCCTATTACGGATTACGTTGATTTTGGGGAGGTTGTCTTCATGATTCTATGAAGACTGAAAAGGCCTGATTACGCCTTACGAAAAACGACATGCAGGCCCCAAGAAAAGTCCCAGCATTCCTCGCGCGAAGGATAACATCCGGTTTCCGTCTACATCAATCTGAAGTTTTATACCGGGGTATTTACCTCATTTGCGGTAAGCTACATGAAAATGACTTAGACTTAACATTGTGATTGTAAACGTGTGCCTTCAGTTTGTCGGTTTACTGATTTATAGAGGATTTTGGCCAGTGTTTTTCTTTGTTTTTCGACGATGTGGGGGAGGGGGGCGATCGCTCGCTAGGGAAAATTTCGGCTATTAAATTATATGGGTTCAGCACAGCCTTTTTGTAAATGCGGGGCTTTGGTATGCCGGTTCACGGATTTATGTTACATTATTTCAACTTTCTTGACTGAATTTTGAGGTAGGAATTTTGAGGTGGTGATATAAAATCTCGTAAATCTGATGCTTTCTTTACTATAAAAATCTTACAAACCTGTGCATGGCTCCTGATTTTTATCAGCAAATTAACACATACCTGTAATTTCTGGTATTTTAAACGTTTCAGAAATGCCTAGGCGTAAGAAGAAAAAATTGACTGAGAGGTTGAGTGCATGGAAGGAAGAGCCAAAAAAGGAGAAGCAACCCAGCCAGCAGGATGACAAACAAGCAGAGATAGAGTCAGTACAGGAAGTAGAGTCAGGAGTACAGGAGCCAGCTGAAATGCTCATGGAGGTGGAGGTAAGTGGGGAGGAGCCAGTTGATGACCAGGATGTACAGGAAACTGGGGCCTGGGATAGTGAAGGAGGTTTCATTTTTGACCCTTTTATGCAGGAAGATCAATTGAATGTGGCCAGTATGGTAAACAGGCATGCCCAAAATGAAAATGAAATCATTACTGTTAAAGAATACCACAATATGGAGCAGAGGAATGTCCCTTTGAAGACACCTTGTAGTAGCGGTATTGTTCCAATACGAGGAGATGGGAATTGTTTTTATAATGCAATTAGTTACAATATCTGTGGCACCGAAGAATATCATAAAGTACTAAGGGATCATTTGATAAAGTTTATGTCAACATTGCCTGAGACTGTTTACAGGTCTTGGTTCGATGGAGGACTAACCATGTGTCAGTACCTGAACCGTCGAGATGAGAGAGGGAAACGTCCAGGAGATCTTGG